TTAGTACTGTTTAGCAGCAACAATAAAAGCCAATTTATTTTTAACCGTTAAAAAAAAAAAATAGCGGGCCGGGGTGATGGCTCAGTAGAGGAAGCGCTTCCCTGGCAAGTGCAAAGGTCTCAGTTCGATCCCCGGTTCCGCCAAAAAAAAAAAAAAAAAAAAAGGTCTGAGATCTGTAGCGAGACCCTGTACCAAATAAATAAATAATTAATTAAAAAAGTATAGTAATGAATATGAGAGGAAACAGTGAGAGGGACTTGGGCCTTCAGTACCCTACACTTGGCAATGGGCAGATCAGACAGAACGGCAATCAGGAACGCTGGGCTACAACTTGTGTTTTTGTCTTCTTGAGACAGGGTCTCACTATGCAGCTCAGGCTGGCCGTGAGCTCACTCTGTAGCCCTGGCTGGTCTGAACTCAAAGCAGCCTCCCGCCTCAGCCTCCTGCCTGCTGGGGTTACAGGTGTGCACCCCACGCCTGGCTATAGAGATGCCTTTTACACTACATGGACCCTCAAGCCACGGAAGAAACATTCCGTTGACCAGCAGCAGCTCCGACGTTCTCCTCACACTCCTGAGCCCCGCTGGGTCGGAGGATATGCTGGGCTGGACAACACGCCTTAAGCAACTGCACACCATTTCTTTTTCAATGGATGAACACATCCCGCCCTGAGCTTTGTCTTGAGAGATGACCCCGCGCGGTAGCCCAGCTGAGCAAGCTCGAGCGCTGCGTATCTCCGCCTCCCAAGGGGCTAAATTCTAGGCTTGAGCCATCACATCCAGATGCAGTGCCAGACCTAACGCCAGGCAGAGAGCTCAGCGGCCTAAGCATCTGCCTGGCAAGCGCAAGGTTTTGAGTTCAATCCTTAGTACCAAGTAAATAAATAAATAAATAAATATATAAAAAAAGAATAAAAATACTCAAGACTGCAGACCAGAAATAAAAGCCATCGTGATGACAGGATGAGATACAGAGGACCATACGGGACTGTTATAAACATATGCCAGAACATCAAGTAACAGAAGCAGTGGATGGATTCCTCGTATGAGAACCTTCCATGATCGCACTGTAAATAAACAGAAAGTCTGAAGGCACCAAGCATGAAGGAAGGAGCCTGAACGAGGAAGACAGTCTCCCATTTTGAATTCCACCAGTCAAACAACAATTGTACTGATTTTTTCTGAAATTCTTCCAAGAAATCAAAGAGGGACTATTTCTTTTTCTCTCCCTCCCTCGTGTGCGTGCGCGCGTGCGCGTGCATGTGGACCCAGGGCCTGCACACTGAGCTACACCAGCCCTTTATTGTCAAAATAGTGCCTCCCTGAATCTCAGTGAGCTGCACACAAGAGGCTCAGGCTCGCACTCCTACTTCCTCAGCACCCCAAGACACATGTGCACCACCGCACGGGAACAAGGAGCATTGCCTGATCCTAAATCCAAACAGGCTCATGCCAAGAGAAGACCATTACAGAACAACTGCCCTCATGAAAAGAAGTGTAACAATTCTCAATAAAAAGGCTGGCAAGTTAGCTCAGCGGACTAAGCGTCTGCTTAGGCAAACGCAGGGACTGAGTTCGATGCCCAGCACCACATGCTGTGCCAGCCCAGCTCCTGGGCATGCTGAGTGGGCCACCGAGACCTGGTGTGGCGGCCCACGCCTGTAATCCCAGCACTGGGGAGGCTGAAAACAGGCTGAATCCCAGCTGTGTAGCGAGACTCTGTAACAACCAAGTACATTAAAAAAATAATTCCCAATAAAATACCAGCAAACTGGATGCCCAGGCAAGCACATCAAAGCAATCCTGTACCACGATCAAGTGGGTTTATCCCAGAGACCCAAGTACGAGTCGGCAAACAGAAACCTAGAAATGTGATACACCAAGTCACCAGAAGGATGTGTAAGGCACACCATCATCCGAAGAGACGCAAAACAACACTGGCCAGTTCAACACCTTTTCATGACAAAACCTCAGCAATCCAGGTACAGAAACAGTAATGTGCCTCTCACCCACCGGAGGCATACAAGCAACTCCATAAGTAGTAATAACTGAAAAGTTTCCTCCAGGATCAGGAACTAGAAATGGTGCCCAGGGCCATCACTTCTAGGGAGAACTGCTGCAAGTGGTAGCCAGAGCAATTAGGCAAAAAAAGAAAAAACAAACAAACAAAACAAAACAAAAAACAACCAAAAACCAAACCCCAAAACAAAAAAACCCAAAACCACCTAAATTTGATTTTATTATTATTATTATTATTTTTTGCTCCGAATGCCCTCAGGGGTGGCTTGGCTGGCTGGAGTGTCGTGGGGATCAAACTCCAGCAAGCTGAGGCTGACAGCTTTGTGGGAGCAGCCACTTAAAGAGCTGAGCTAGGGCCAGGCCCCCTTCAAAACCACTGAAATTTGAGAGGAAGGAATTCAATTTGCTCTGCTTGCAGATGATGTGATTTTATATTTGGAAAACCCTATAGGTTTTAAGAGTAAATTTACTCTTGCTGTAGAATATAAAATGGACATTTTGTCAGATTTTCTAGACATAAACAATGATCCATCTGAAAAGGAATCAAGAAAAGGAAACTCACAGTAGCATCAAGAAATAGAACAGAGCAAATATTTAGGAGTAAATCTAAGCCAGGAGGTGAAAGATCTGCATGTGGAAAAGTATAAAACACAGATAAAAAATTGAAGAGGACATAAAAGATAGTCCATATTCATGCATAAAAATAACTAGTATTGTTGAAATGTGCTTATTAACCAAAGGAATCTCCATGTTCAGTGTGATTCCTACTGATCAGTATTTAACACACACATTTGCATATTTACTTGGATTCATAAAATATTCCAAATAGTCAAAAGCAATATTCAGTGAATCATCACACTATGATTTGAACATCCACAACATGAAATGTAATAAAATTTTCCTCTTTAATTTCCTATCCTTGAAATGTTCTAAGTAACATACATGAATTTCACACAAAAATTCAAAAATTGCAACCTCTGGCATTGAAGGGTTAATTAAGCCAGGGATGGTGGTGCACATCTGCAATCCAGCAGTCAGGAGGGGTGTCATACATTAAGGCCAGGATGGGCTATGTAGAGAATTCGAGGCCAGTCTGAACTACACAGACAAAAACCTTGTCTCATCCCTCCCACAAACAAAAACAAAAACAGAAACAAAAGGACACAAAGTTTCAGTCTGAGAAGAGGAATAAATCCTGGAAATAATAACATGAATGTCCTAATCACAAAATCAATAATGACAGAAGACATATATTAATCAAAAATATATTTATCAAAACATGTATACTACTATCAATGTAAAAAAAATAAACAATTACAATTCCTCCCCCGAATTTAAAGAAATCTAGCATTAGATTCCATGAAAAAACAATCCCTTCCTCTTCAAACCACATACTAATAGGATATGCTAAAATTAACCTCTTGAAGGAATTTTTCTACACAGTAAAGATGCTTTATTTTGTTGTTTATTTTTATTTTTCAGAGAATAAAAAAGAACAGAAAAAACATTAGAACCATTAGAAATTTCACTAAACCAAATGATAGTAATTCAACAATGATCATTTTAAAAATTATTTTTATTTTTTTAAAGAGAATACAAAATGATAAAGAGAAAAATATTAGCAATGATACAGAATAACCATGGTTGTCATATTGTGTACTGCTATGTTTAAATTAGTGGCTCAGATCACCAGATATAAGCATGCAAAATTGGTCAAAAAATTAAAAGAAGAGAAAAAATATTTAAGCATTAATTGCTCCTTTCAGGAGACCAGCAGGGGGTGTCAGGATGGATGGCTGAGTGGCCTCAGGCACCAGTCTCAACAGACCAGCAGAAACCAGCGGTACAAGCATGGGAACCCTCCCAAGAAAAAAAAACGAATTTTTTTTATCCCTTCCTTCTTTTCTTCTCGTTTCCCTCAGCCCAGTTATTCTTTCCCTCTGAGCACTTTCTTTTCCCTCCACAGTTCCCACTGTTTTCACTTTCTTTTTGGTCTTTCAGTCGGGGTCTCACTGTGCAGTCCAGGCTGGCCTCAGAGTTGCAGCGATCCTGCTTCCTCAGCCTCCCGAGTGCGGCATTCTAGAGTGTGCCACCGGCTGTCACTAGGTGCTTAGAGCGGAGCTCACAGGAGGACTGGAGCAAGGGTCCCACGGGCCTGTGAACTCTCCCAGGGGCTTGTCGGGGCCAGGGCACTCGGGGCTAATCGCATCCTGCAGGGTCCTGACGGATCCCGAGGCGGCGACGTTGGGAACAAGGGTTATTTAGGGAGGGCACTGTGGGCCCCGGCACGCAGGTAACTCCAAGTCACATAAGCTCGGTCATTCAGTGGGCAGAAAGGCAACTCACCCAAGCCTTGACTTGAAGAGTGAGTAACAGGTCTTCCTTGCGCGGTGCTTTCCGCTCAGCCGGCCTAGGAGAAAGCAGAGGGCAGGAATGAGCCACCGGGCACTTCGGGGCACTGGCAGCGTGCAGACACACAGCTGGGAGGTGCGGGGTGCCAGTGTGGCAGAGACGCTCGGCGCTGTGCCCCGCGCCTGCCAGCCGGCTCCCCTCGGGGACCTCCGCAGGTAGAGCAGGAAGCAGGCTGGCTCTCGGGGCGCTCCCCCTCCCTCTCTGCGCTACTAGACTGAGCTGGGCTTTCACAGTGAACTGCATACAGTGTGTCTTTATAAAAATCCAGAACATTCTGAAACAGGTATTGCTAAATTGTCCAGGTGAGCTTAAATTTTTTAATCCCCTACCTCAGCCTCCCCCGGAGCTGGGATTACAGGTGTGGGGGTCACCATGCTGACTAGGAAATCTACTCCTGAAGGTGTCTCTTGTCATTCAGGTAGGCTGTGCGACGGCACTAGCTTTGCGAGGTGGGACGTGCCTGTCACCCCAGCAGCCCTCAGGAGGCGAGGCAGGGTCACCGGGTTTGAGGCCAGCCTGCACTGCACAGCAACACCCTGTCTCCAAAAAAAAAAATAAAAATCTTTTTGGTCCCGCTGCGGTAACTACCCGTGTCCTCCTCGGTGCGGGGTGAGTTCGTGACGTGGCCCATCCCGCAGGCGCTGCCACCACTTGTGCGCGCCCCGCCTAGTCTGTGCTCTCCTCAGCCGCTCCCGCGACAGGGTCCCGGTCCCCACGCCCCCGGGCCACGGCCGCGCGGGCCACACCCACTGCGTCCCTCGGGTCTCACCTGTTGCCCACGCAGACTCCCCGCAGGGCTGTCCAGGAGCGGGGCGGAGGCCTCCCCGACGCGCTGCCGCTCCAACCGCACAGGCCACCACGCACCTGGGTCACTGCTGCGACGACGGCGTCCGTGTGCACCGACCCACAGGTCCGTCTCCGTGGCCCCCGGAGCACAGACGCGCCTCATACAATGTCGCATCTGCGTCACAGGTATAGATGCTCACCTGACCCGTTCCCATAGACACCGACGTCCACTCACGCAGCAGTACCATGGTTACCGGGACAGAAGATGGTCGCTGCATCATAACGCCCACTCCAGCGCCCCCGTTTGGACTTCCGCGCACGTTAGCGCGCATGCGCACACCTACCCCGCCCCCACCCCGGCCGTCGATGGCCGCCGCTGTGGACTGCGCCGGCGCGCTCCATGCGGCAACGCATGCGCAGTGGAACCCTGCCGCTTCTTTTTTTTTCCCTTGACTACAGCGACCCCATCCGTACGTTCTGTGACATGGACGCACAACGGTATCCAAGGAAACCCATGCACGCGTGTCCCAGCATGCAGCGGGGTGGGGGGGCGCGGCAGTGCAGTCTGTTGGTGTAAACAACCGGGGGTTACCCTAGCGTACGACTGAAGGGAATAAAGAAATAAACAGTTCAGATCTGCTGCAGGGAACACGACACGTCTGCGAATAGCAAACGTCCTGCCAAGCACCGGGGTCTGCGGAGGGTCGGGTCGGTTCCCGCGGAAGCGCTGTGCGCCCGACTCGAACGCGCCGCCCGCCGGCTGCGTTGCCGCGCGCCCTGGCTGAGGGCGGAGGTTGCCGCGAAGCGGAGCGCGGCGACGTTGTGCCTCAGCATTTGTGTTTTAAGGCTTTACAAGCCCTTCCCACCCTTTAAAAAACTCTCCCGCTGTCCCTAATCATTTTGTGAACTCGCAGACCTGCGTAACTGCGACTACCTCCGTATACTCCGCGGCGCGGCAAAATCCCGCAAAATCCCGCGATAGTGCGAAAAGTCCGCGGCAAGTAGGTTATTGGTTTTTTTTTGAAAACCCGGGAAACAGCGAGTCCACAAGTCACTCTTGTGGCTAAATAGCGAGGGACTGCTGTACTGTTAAACATTAGCCGACAGACTTTCAAAGAGTACATTTCTCTTTCCAAAAAAAAAAAAATAGCCCAGCGGTGAAAGCAACTGCCGCGCAAGCGCGAGAGCCCGAGTCCAACCTCCGTACCAAAAACGCCCCCCAGCCCCCCACTGTGTAGGTTGGGATTAATTCGCTCACCAGCTCACTTCGCTGTCACCGGGTCTGCACCCAGGCCTTGCGGATGCCAGGCAGGCACTTACACCGCCGAGCTACGTGCCCGGCCCCAATGTTTTTTGTTTTTATAAATACAGGTTTTCCTGTTCACACACAGGCTGGCATTGAACTCACTGTGGCCCAGGCTGCCATCGGATGTGCGGCGATCCTCTTGCCTCAGCCTCTCACGTGCTAAAATTATAGGTGTGTACCACCATACCCCGCAGAATACTTCTTAGAATAATTTTTTTAAAAAAGCAAAGTTGAAGATAGGTGATAGGAAATGGAAAGATGGAAATTTCATAAATGGGGAGGTGATGGAGATGAGGGGGAGAGGAGTGCAGAATGGGAAGGAGATAAAAAAGAATGGGAAGAAAAGGTGTGTCACATACTCATTTCAGTTCCCCACAAGGAATGCGATTTTTTTAAAACTGAAAATAGGGGCTGGAGAGATGGCTCAGTGGTCTAAAGCACCTACTTGAAGCAAGCTTGGCAAAGCACAGGGACCGCGGTTCGATCCTCCAGCACCACATGCCAGCCAGCCCCGCCCCCTGGTGGGCTGAGCTGGCCACACACACACACACACACACACACACACACTAAATAAATGTAATAAATAAAAATAAATATAAAACTGAAAATATATGCTAATAAAAATTTAAAAACAAGGGGCTGGGGAGATGGCTCAGTGAAATAAGCGCTTCCCTGGCAAGCGCAAGGGCCTGAGTTCAATCCCAGGTTGAGAAAAAAAAAAAACCTTTTATGGTGGAGGATAAATTACTGCTGTATAAATGTATGGAATATATTTACCAATTAATATTTTATTATGGATTTATGATGAATTAACAAAGTAGATTTAATCCTGTACACAGGATATGGTGGCTGTCTTAGTGAAATTAAGAATGCAAGTTCTGTGTTCTGACAGTCAGAACATGAATCTGAGCTTTTATAGTTACTAATTTATTAGCTCATTGATAAAAGTGAGATAAAAATGGTTATATCACATAATAAGTAAAATCATTGTCATAAAACATCCAGTACAGGCTGAATGTCCCTAATAAAAATTTTGCATTTTAGTTTTTTTTTTTTTTTTGTCGCGGTACTGGGGATTGAACTCAGGACCTTGCCTTAGTGAGGCAAGCACTTTTTGTATTGAGCTATCTCCCCAGCCCAATTTTGCATTTTAGGTCTTGTAAAATTTTTTTTTTTTTCGGAATCAGGGATTGAACTCAGACCCTTGCCAGCTTATTCCACTGAGCCATCTCCCCAGCCCAAATCTATATATACTTTTTTTTTTTTTTTTGGTGGAACCGGGGATTGAACTGAGGCCCTTGTGCCCAGCACTTATTCTACTGAGCTATTTCCCCAGCCCCAAATTTTGCATTTTAATCTTCTTGGGAGGACCTCTGAAAAGATGGTGGAATAAGTTGATCAGAGTCAAATGAAAAAGCAGGAGACAGTACAAATGACACAAAAAACCTGCTGACAGAAGTCATGGCGGATATCTTTCCAAAGGTAGAAAAAGAATTTGACATTCAGATAGTGATGGATATAGACTTCAGTTAGCCATGATCAGAGAAAATCTACAGCAAAGCATATTCAGTGCTAGAACAGAATATTAAAGGTGTTAGAGAAATGAAACAAGTCACCTACAAAGAAAAGCCCATTAGAATCCCAGCAGACGTCTCAACACAAATCCTAGTCAAGGAGCGCTTGCAGTGAAGCATGTCATGTCTTAAAAGAACTCACAACTCAAACTGAGGTACCCCACAAAAGCATCTATCAAAATTGATGGCTAACAGCCAGCCCTGCCCCCTGGTGGGCTGAGCTGGCCAC